TACGTTGCTCATCTTGCAAGTGAGAGGAAGAGGGAAGGGAATTTTCAATGACAGAGTGCCTCACCTGGGAACTCAGCTGCTTCAACTACTCCTACAGGCATCCACCTGGATCCTAGACACAATGAGAAAGAGATGAAAGTCCCAATGCATGTTGAGAAACCTTATGGCCCACTACAGAACCATGCCCCCTGGCAGGGGTAAATTTCCCTGGGTTGGGCCCTTAATGAGATAAAATCCAAAGATTTCTTACCTTCTTGAATGCCATGGTCCATGCTCCGATGTACTCAGCATAGCAGGAACCAGCTCCTGATTTGTCCCGTTATACCAAAACCACATCTGTGGTTTGATGTGTGAGGCAGAACAGTTAAACAGTCTCAGCGTTTGGAGGTTCGTTGAAAGCGGGGACGCAGATACTGTCATTCAAACACATCGTTTCAGAAGACCACAGGATTTTCCGTGTCCAGAGCCTTGCACCGCAGTGGGTTGTCTTGAGGGATGCTGAACGTTGTTTTCATTCCAGTGACCAAGGTAAGTTTTTTTGCTGACTGAGAGCAAGGGTTTCTTCATTGTTCTGGGATGACTATGGTGATTGGTCACTGTGTATAACAGAGTCACCAGCATCTGATGTGGAAGGTTAGGAATTCTCGAAGCCTTTACAAAGAAGGCTTTGGAAGAGCGGGAAGTCCGGAGGAATGATAAGGGCAAAAACTATGGTCATCTCAAATAGGCTGAAGTTGTAGGGTGTGACGAATCCATACCATGAAATCCAACGTATCTTCAACGTATCTTCAGCTCATCTTGTGCAAGGGATGCACCCAAGGTATGTTATGAAAATCAGGGAGGAGGTAGAGCCAACTGAAGTAGCAGATAACAGCTGTAAGGTCATTATTACGGTTGAACAACAGCAGCTCTTGGAAGAGATGTGGAGCATACATGGAATGCAAGTTCTTCATCTTCAGTGTGTGCAATTTTGTACTGCTCTGCCATCTGAGAACACCTCTAGGTATTAACTGATCCCTTTCTCCAATGTGATTACAACAAGTTAGATGTGTTTTTCATGTGACAGGTTAGGTGTCTCCTCAAATATCCATGTTTGCCTGGTACATTTTCCCAGCTGTGTTTAGTAGCAACACTTGAATTTTCAATTTTGTCCACAGTGAGTATCTTGGGAAGCCATAATGCAGACATATACCATGGACCATTTTCCAGCCATCTTCCATTCCAGGTGCCTCACCAAAATCTGAGCCACATCAGCTTTGACACCTTGAATATCCTTTCAGGAAATTCAGTGTAGAAAGGCCCCCACAGGTCGAATAAGTCATATCCTACCCTATCATCTTAAAAGAGCTCACTCTGGTTAGAAATCATGCCCTAATGAATCAGCTTATGCTTAGGTGACGGGTTTATAACTAACAACGCTGAAATGTTATGTCACCTGCACATTGCTATGGACTTTATATTGAATATTGAACTGGTGTGCTGCTATTATGTACCTTTTACCTTCTCTAGAATGGGTTCTCCAGGCAAGGGCCATAAAAGAAAATTGTCAAGTCGTTACTCAAGTATCAGTATTTCTGTCACACATTGTTCATCTGTATGGAGTAGCCTTACTCCAATCTCTATTCATCAGCTTTTCTGTACCTGAGGAATTTCCATCCCTCAACATTCTTTGTGAGTACAAAAAAGGTGATCAATACCTTTACTGGTTTTTCAGTGTAACACACAAGAACCCTGACAGAAAAAGTTAGGTCTGTTTTCAAGACAGCCAATACTCTAACACCGTGGATGATGGTATTGATCTCTTAGTCATCAATTAAAACCCTTCATCTTATATTCTCAGGAAATGTATCTATCACTGAAAAGCCAAATGTGCAGTTCTGTGGGCTATGTTGAACCTCAAATAAGAAGTATTTTTGCAGGTAGATTTTCTATTTCTGTACTGTAGAATACCATTTATTCTCCCTAGGGAGGATCACCCTAAATTTACCTGTACAGTCAACATGAAATGGCTGCCATAAGTCCTGCATTTGTACATCAGTGTAAAACTTTTGAGATGATTCAGTATCCTGAGCCTTTTTAACCAAGCAGAGTTTTCAAGTAAGATGCAACTACAGGCACTTATCTTGCATCAGGTGTTGCAGTTCACTGACAAATGTACATGAAAAATTCAAGATGTTTAGTTTTCTCTATTTTTTTTATTTTTATTTTTACTTTACATAAATTCTCAACCAGTTGTGCCTTAGAGTTCAAAGCATCAGTAATTCAATCTTTCTGAGAAGAGTTTTAAAAAGTAAGAATATTAAAGCTTCATTTTACCTAGTGTTCCCAATGATACTGCTCCATTAAAAACCATTACTTTTTAGTCCAGGCTTAATTGACAACTATTGTTTTCCTGTATCCTTTCACATTAGTTATAGGTATTTGAAATAATATTCTTGATTAAATTTAATTAGGCTATGCTTATGAAAAAGGACTCTTTCCTATTTCTTTCATTTTATATTCAGAACTTAATTTTAGAAGTCCTAAAATAGGATCCTTCAGTAGTCAATGGACTGCCATAGGTCAGCTCATTCCAGCTCAAGATACATGTCCAAGACAGACAGGATAAATAGCCCTCTGGACACATATATTTCTTTCAACTATGTGCAGCCAGTGTAGTTTTTAGATAGATAAAATAAGGCAAGATTAAACTCATCATAACCCTTGATCAAGGAATGTCATGCACAGCACTGAAAACAAATTTTTCTAGGTTGCCTGCTTGAACAACTTGTAGGTCATATCCTTATTTGTTCTGTATATATGGGGTTTCTTTGCACTTTTTAAACACAATTATAATCTCAAAATCTTCTGATTGGAATGAAAAGTAAAAACTGAAAAAACCATAATGCATAATTATAATAGAGCTTAATTTGAATACGTGTCAAAGCAGAACTTCACTGTATATATGCTTGAGCTTAGGCACCTGAGCAGCCTATTGATAGTGAGAGGATTATGTAGATATACCTGTAAAGTTAAGGCTGCTCTAAAGAACTTCCTAGCCTTAGTCTTTTGAGTCCCAACTTTTTGTAGTTTTGTTGGTACGTACAATCAGAGGTGGCCACAACACTCGCTTTGTAAACAGCTGGAGGAAGGAAAAAGAAGAACCCACACAAAGAAGTTTTATGCAGTGCAGTTGTTGTCAGCAGTTGTAAGAAGGACCACAGGTCAGACAGGTCTCTTGTTTGTCTGTACCATAAGAAACACTTGCCTTTATGCCCAAGCTTTTAAGGAAGCAAGTAAATCTGATTCAAATGGGCAGGCACCCTAACAGCTTTGAAAATACCTTGCATGAGTGACAAATATGTCCGCAAGAAATAGGCCCTTCTGTCAAAGTGCTTTTAATTTAAGATGCAAAGTGACTCTAAAAACCTGGGCAAAACCAGGATTTCACTTTCTGTGAAAGCATGTTTAATTTTGAAACATATAACGATGTAAGAATTCAAGAGAAAATGGCAGCTAGTTTAAATATGAATTGTATTAATGAGGAGAGGGCAAGAATCTTGTCTTCTAAGTGGTTATGACTCATACTTTCTAATTATAGCATGTACACATCCTACTTCAGTAAAAGAGAATATCAAGCATACTTTGGATGAAAGATGTTCAGAGACTTGAGTCAGTGGCTGATTAACAGGCACCAGAGTTCATCTTGTGGGGAAAAAAACAAAAAAAGAAAAAGAACCTGCAACTTTTCTTATTTACTCTGCTGTAAAACACAAACAATTCTGCAGCTGACAATGGAATTATTTTATTGTTGAAATGGCATGAGGGCAGAATCAATCAAAAATGTCTATGAATTAGTTTCTGACTTCATTCAGATTTAAAAAAAAAAAAAATAGGCAAGCATATACACAAGTCCATACTCAAAATAAAGCTAGAAGTCCGTTTCCAAAGACAAATATTAAAAAGAAAAACCTAAACCAAGATTAAAAATTTCCCAAATCACAAAGCTCTGAAATGCAGTCATGTAAGTGCCAAAGTGTATTTTGCAGTTGCTCAGCTTACACAGGATTCAAAGGAGAGAGCAGCTATTGGTCAACCTCGGAAATGTCAGTAGGAGAAACACATGGCCAAAACCCTTAAAAACAAAAAAGAGTTTTATACTTAAAAAGTAGAAAGTATGAGACTGTTTTTCTGGAAGGACTTCTGCAGATGAGGTGGGACCTACATGGCCGAGGAAGCATTGGGTAAAGCCGGGCAGTTTCACCATCACTAGCTCTACTAGCTCAGTTTTAAGAGTTTTGATTTTATTTATTTGTTGAATATCTGTGAATCAGATTAGTTAGAATTTTGTTCTGCCTCAGTCTTATTTTGTGCTACTCCATTCCTTGCAGAACCTATAACTGCATCCACGTCTTTGCTTTGAGATTTTGCTTTCTTTTGTGCATGTTATCAATAACGTCTACTTCCTTTAGGCTTTATTACCACATATTTTGTAAAAAACCTGAAGAAAAGGACAGAGGAATTTGCAATGAGTGTAGGATCTTTAATACAAGGGGTGGTTGAGTACAGGGCTGACTAAGTAGAGGTTGCTTAACCCAGCTCCAACAGAGCCTTGTTTACATACAGCACTGACTCCCAAACCTTTTGACCCCTGGGATATTACCAGTCTTCAGACTTCCTTGTACAGCCAGATCTAGCTGATTACAACCTTGATCATTGTTACCATTGTTCATCCTGAACAAGCCTAGTTGTAGATCATGTACTATCAATGATTTAAAAAAAATATTTTCCCTAAACCAGTTATACTTCTCACTCCCAAATACCAACAGCACAGACTGTGCAGCTAAACTGCAGCTCTACAGGATCTCAGTCTGGGGTTTGCACTGTAGCAGAATTGTTTGAAGTGACTTTGACCTGACAGGAACTGAAGATGGTTTTGCTGTTAGAAATGACATCCCAGAAAACTGCTCTTCTCTGAACTCAGAGAGGGAGACAGATATACACAGAGAGGAAATGCTCACCAGTCTCAGGAGAAGTTGTCTTCACGGAAAGAAGTTTGACTCCATCTTTGTCTGATTGGGCCCTGTTGAAGTCAGAAAATATTTAATCAGACAGACAGCATGCATGTTGGTCAGCCAAACAAAACTCTAAGATTATGATCCAGTGAAGGCAACAGCTATGCCAGTCTACACTGGCAGGCTTGAAATGGGCTTTGAATGGGATCATGAGCAAGTCTTGGTGGTGGAAAACACCACGTACCAATATCTCTGATAGTATCTTTCTCTTAAAATATGTAATAAATTAAGTTTCATGATTCCAGGCCTAATCTGGTGCTTCACAGAAGAAGTACATCTGGGAGAAAAGAGGGAGGAATCTTTTTTTCTGTCAATAAAAAGCTTTTAGCCATGCTGAATTGCAAACAAAACGTTGACAAGAGATAAAACATTAACAAAAGAAGGGGGATGGGAAAGGATGGGAGGACGGAAAAATCAATGGGACAAAAATTTGAAAAAAAATAGTGGGCCAGTGAGTCCTGTGACACAGAATAAGCTGTTTATCCATTCCAAAAGGATTCCCTGCAAAGCAGCTGAGAATCATCACATTTCTATCCATGCTGGAACAGCTGCTTATCATGAATACAGGTGTGTACAATAACTGCAAGCACAACACTTCCAGCAGGGTATTTCTCTTTGGGGTGGTAACTGCTTATTATGCTTAAACAGAGAAAGATCAAAGAAAATCCTATGCAGAGTCTGCTGCATTTACAAGTGCCCTGTGATAGATCTTAAAGCAATGAAAAGGATTCAACCTACTGTTCAGCGCCATTCTCTTGTCTCTCTGGAAGAAGAAACAAAGGCAATATCATTCTGACTGCTGGAACTGACTTAAATAAACACTTAGACATAGCTATTGCGGTTTCTGGCAGACAGCTCAGTTGTAATTTTGCAGTGTTGCATTAAGTACATTAACACAATCAACCAGCTTGAATGGTAATTGTTATTTTTCTAGTCGTCTGTGAAAGTGAACTGATGCTGCTAATACTGATGCTTCTGGAAACCAGGGAGAGCGATATGTGACTTGTCCAAGAGCACAACAGAAGCACATTTTTCCCTGCAGCTCCCAAATCCCTGGGTAGCTGGCACAGAGGAGAGGTGAGCATGCAATGGTTCTTGAGTACATAACAACTGAGCTAAAAGATACAGGATGAGGGGAGTGAGGGAACAGGCTGCCAGGCTGTACACCCTGGGGGTTTAACCTGTCATGACATCTGAGAGCAGAGCCTGTCATCCCCATCGATGGGGAACAGGTTTCTCCCCAAAATGAATCATATACTGGATGTATTTTATGCTTATGTGCAAGTGTGGGCAGATGGATGGGGCCAGCGGGTTACATCAGGGACGTGGAGCCAACTCTAGCTACATAGCACTAAGCACAGGGGTTTCCATCCAGAGGGGAAGCACACTGGATAAGTCTGGGCAAATCCTACAGGAAGCACCACAGTTATCTACTCTATCTTTTGAGTGAATTTGCTATTACAGTGCCTGATGGCATTTGTGCATAGGGCAGGCTGGTGAGGAAATGTTCTTCATCTCATATCTTTATCTCTTGACTCAGAATATTTAATAGTTTCCTAAGCAAGGATCATACTTTCCTCTGTTTATCTAGGTCTGTTCTTCCATGTCATTGGCTAAATTGGTTGTGACACACTGTTTGCCTTGGTTTACAGCTTCAGCACCCTGTTGTGATTTTGTATTTCCAAGGCCCGGTGATTTCACAGCTGAAGCTCTGCACAGGTCTCCTAAGTCATGCCAGCTCACAGGGACAGAAAAACCACAGCCTGGATTCTGCATTTTCACTTAATGAAGAATCACACTTGCCTGTAGCCCACTTGGGCAACTCTGAAATATTTGGCAAATGGAACTTGGTGGAACTATACCCTATTATCTAAAGTATTTAATGAATAGAAGTGAAGCAGATACTGACTTTAGCTGCTCTGTCAAAATGACTGCTTCTGAACATACTGCTTGCTCAGGGATTTTGTTCCCATGTACATTATGCTGTAACTGGAAAATTTTAGTCATGCATAATGTGTGTGCCTATCTGTGTCTCTGTGTGTATCAGGTATATCTCTAAAGAAACCACTGATATTTCTTTGCCTGTATCTAGAACAGAGATAAAATAAATATAACGATTTTATTACACAATATCTTCAGACTTGGTTTTCACTGCCTATTTCTACCTGATTGACTGATTGTCTTAGCACAGGTGTTTGCTAGTTCTTGGTAGCTGCAAAAATGTGAACAAAAAGCTTTGCAGCATTATAAATATTCTCTAAAAATCAGAGATATTTTTGTTCACTCTGTTCCTTCTACTGATTTTGAAAATGAAGTGTTAGTTTTCCACTTTAGGCAAAACACTTCAAAATATAAGAAGCTTTCCCACCAGAGTACCTCAACAGATATGGTTAAGGTAATCTAAAAGAGATCTTTTAACAATAAAAACCACATTGATTGCTCCCCTCCTCTCCTCCCCCCACCCCCATCCAGAGAAAGCAAAACAAATACCTGGAGTTTTCTTCTGGCACATTTTGTACAAAGCCACCAGTGAGAAGACAGAGAGGGTAATGACTATCAGGGTGATGACAATTGGCAAGATAATACCTGCAAAGGAGGGAGAACATATTTTTGGCTGCTGCCGCTGGCTTGCATTGCCTCTGTGTACAGGCACTTGCACACACAAAGGTGAGAGGCATCTCCATCTCCACTTCACCAAACTTTACCAATTTCTCAGGAGCAAGGTAGCCTGCTGCTCCTGTTATCTTTCCAGCAACCGTCGAGCCTCAGGCTCGGCAGCTTTGTGGAGGAAGGATTTAGGCACCTTCTCCTATCCTTACTTCTTCCCTGACACTTGTGTTGCCCTGTGGAACTGGTTTCACCCATTTTCCAGTAGGAGAGTGAAGTTCCAGTACCTGCTCCACTGGGACTACCATAATCTTGATCAAAATATTCATGATTCACCCTCACTGCTGATGGCCCCCAAACGTTTTGTGAGACAGTCGTGTGTCAGAAATAAATTTTTCATATGAGCAATTTATTTTTTGTTTTTTTTGAAAACAAGAATTGTCTGAAATTCAGCAACAGAAGCAATTATTTTGCTTTCAACACTGTACACCCAGAAAGACACCAAGGAGTTACGTAATCCAGTAACATTCCCCACAGCACTTACAACCAGGGATAGAAAACGCAAGATCTCCTTTTAAAATGAGGACATTTCTTTCCTTTTATTATTTCCCACCATCTGCCATTTCCTGACAGGTGTTTCCCAGCCAAGAAGCAAAAACAGAAGAATTATGTAATGAAGAGAAGCTTTCCCGGGGAAATATATAAGCCCAGCTTCTCCCCATTTATCTTTTTTTTCTGGCAGAGACCAGGCACATTCAAATTTAGCAGGTGCTCTCCCACCTGCTGGCCTAAGCCCTCTGCTGGGGGGAGGCTGCAATCCACAGCCTTCCACAGCATCAGCCGTCATGCTGCCTGAGGTTTAAAAATGGCATCTTCCATGTCTCCAGATGCAATTAGTATTTAATATTAATATAGGGGGGGTTGTGTGTGTGAATCTGTGGAACTAGAGAAAGAACGCAGAGAAAAGTTTACAGTGGGCAAATATCAAACGTGTTCTCCTAAGCCAGTACCTCAGGGTAGGAAATAGCAGGTCTGCAGCCACACCCTTGCCCCAGAAATGCGTAATATTAAAATAAAATATTAAGTAACATGCATCATGAAAATATCAAGTGCCTAAAGAGTCTGCAGAAGACTGCCTTGTAGACCTTCTCTACCATGACAATATGAAAAGTGTATTAATATAATACATTCATACCAATGGTTTGTAATAGGCCCTAAATCAGGTAAGGCTGGAAATAAAAATGCCAGTTACATTTGTCTGCTACTTAAATCACTCACTGAAAGCAAAACTGATCAACTGAAAACTCAAAAGCTGAACAATAAAGTAGGAATACTTACTAGAATAGTGGATATCACTCCCCGTCCCTTTGTTTTCTTCTCCAGGACTGCTTCCACGACTGCCAGAAGCTAGATGTGCAAAAGAAATATTGCCTTTCATGTATTGCCAGAAGTCCCAAACAACTCGCTCTGAAAAATTATCCTCCCAAAAGAACTTTTGTGTCCCCAGTTCTGGAGCCACTTGCTGCTTCACATCTATATTTCTTCTCAATAACTCTCTTCTCGGATAACTTGGCAAGTGGGGTGGAAAAGTTAACCTAGTGTGGCCTAGAAGAAACACACACTTCACATGGTTGCAGTCTTTACTAGGATCATCTGCTGGTCCACTTACAGGTTATGAGCTACAAGCTTTTTCACTTTTACGAGCTTATGGTACTGTTCAATATTAGAAGAGAACTCTTGACAAGGAAGAAACAAGAAAGAGTGAAAATTAAACCTGTCTCCAAAAGAAGAAAGACCAAAATATTTCACTCACTGCTAATTAAAAAATTAAAAAAAAAAAAATTGCTAATAGTAGATGAAGAAGTCTAAAGAGGTGCAATATCAGTAGATAGCAAGTTTCTTGAGAATTATTATAGACGGATGTGCATGTTCTCTCTGCCACATCTGGACAGAGCAATGACTGCTGTGAGCCTCTGGGACATTTTTTAGGTCTGGGTTTAAAGGAATGCATTTCTACCTTCAGGAGTTAATCTGAATTTGAGTCAGGTATCAACAACCCAAAATATTCATTACCCCGTTGCATAAAGTCTATGAAAAAACAATCATTGAACTTCCAGAGAGAAAATAGAATATGCAAACATTTGTGTTTCCATAGTTACTTGTATAGCACATGGGATTGTATTCCATATTGGACAGAGGCTTGAGTAGACATGCTCCCTGCCACTGAAGAAAATGACCAGCTGAACATTTCCATTGCCTGTTTAAATATCAGAAATGGCTCTCAGACAAAGGCATCTGGGGAAGGTGGTCTGTTAAGAAGTGTTCCTAGCAGAGACTATAGCTCCATACCTAAGCAGTGAGAACATTGTATCAGCCACTGAGGTTTTGTTGGAGGCTCTGATCCATTGCTCAGGTACCTACTCACAATCTGCACCTGTAGGGATGCACAGTTCCTCTCCCAAAGAACAGAAGAGGGCTCAAATTGTTGGGTGGAAGCTATGAAATTAATTGAGTCATTAAAACCAATTTCCCACAGCCATTTTAAGGTCTAGAATACAATTTTGTTTTACTTTCTTTAAAAGATATGTCCCCATTTTTACAGAAGCTTTTGTACAGGCAGTAATTGTAACTCTAGTCTGCAGAATTACAATAACAAACAAGGTTTGTTTGTCCCAGCCATGTAGGACTCTCTTTTCCTTGCTGCACTGATTTTAAATTCAAGCCCACTATTAAAAAATGTTTTTTGTGGATTCCCTTCCCCCCCATTCTCTCCCCTTCATTTGTCTGCCCATAGACAGAAACCACCATCACTTACTAATTGTTTGTGTAGTGCCTAAATAATACAGCCATAGCTGAGACATTTTGATGCTATAGTGTAGGAAACAATCACTGTCCAAGACCTTTATCTCTGTTTCTTTAAAGCAGAAGTTCTCTTTCCCATGGTGCCTGTCTGCTGAGGGGTGATAATGTAAGGATGGAAACTGAGCCACCATCAAGTGACTAAAATAATTCCTATGAATTCTTAATTCCATGTGACTGCTTTAGATTTCCCGTGGAAATCCTACTGTCCTTTTTGCTATCTTATCTGGTATACTACATGATATACAGGGCAAGCAGGCAATTATCACAGCAATGAGTTACCCTGGATACTGACTGAAAATGTCAACAGCAATAAATTACACTGAAAAACGTGAATGTTTATCCCTGCATTTGTGCAGGAGATTTGTGCATCTCCTCAGGAGAACAACTGAGGATTGAAAGCCACTGGCTATTTTCCTGGTTATCTGTCAATTGACCAAGGTGCGAGTAATGCAGGAAGGAAAAATCCATAGCTTGGCATTTTAACTACTTGCGGTCATCAATAAGTAATACAACAGCTAAAAAGAAACATTACTGAATGAAATAGATTAATGAACTAAAACCTTTATCTCATTTCTCCACGTCTTTTATTAGATTCTCACAAGCTAGCCCATCCTGTCTACTTTCCCTGATCTGGAAGGTATTTTCCAGTTATGGAATGATCTGGGATCAGAATAACAAGTAATTGGAGAAGTACATCCATCATGGTTACAGGAGGGACAAGATTTTGCTGGCAGCAGCAGCAGCAGCAAGAACTGCAGGGATCAGTACAGAAGAGACTGTTTCCTGATAAGCATGGAGAAAGGAAAATAAGACAATACAGGTTCATTAGCACAGGAAACTTGCCTTACTCTGGGACCAGCCGCTTCTAACTACAGGACGAGGAACAAGAGCCACTGACAAGAACAAGCCCCTTGGTAAACACTCTATTTATATCAGCTTCCCCTTGCATCACACAATACACCAGCTCTGATTTTTTTTTTTTGTGCTCCCACCCTGTTTTCTTTCCAGCATCTGCTAATCCAACACAATACATTGCTGAAATCACAGCAAAGTTACTCAGTGCTACAGGTTGAAGACCAATCTTCTGCTTCTCTGTACTATGCTTCAGGTTCATTCTTCCCCTAGAGCCTACTTGTTCCCTGAACATTTCCTTTCCTCAGGCTGTTCCTCTCCCAATCCACACCGGCATTTTCATCAGTGTGCATTGAGCAAACTCTTCTTTCGCTCTTACTTGTTGATTCTGTTGGAGAGCTCACGGGAAGGCCTGCAATAAAACAGAAGGAATAGGTTGTTAGTATCTGTTTTAGATGTCCCAAGTCTTCACATCATGCAAACTAGCAGACTCTATAGCAACATGCTCAATAACCCCACAACAAATGCTGCCCCAGAATGGACATTCTAACACTTTTCCTAAGCCCAGAAAATCAGAGCTGTTAGATCTGCAAACATCTCTCATAGATGGGAGCAGAATCAAAAGCCCAGCCTATGCTAGGTTGTTTTTCTGCTCAAGAGAAGAAAATCCTGAATTAATTGATACATTCCTAAAAAAAATCCTCCTGCCAAAGCCAAATAAGTGCCTGTGAGTGAATAGCTGGCATTTAACTGACAAAAGAGTGTTTTAATAAAAGAAATTCAAATGCCTAATTGAGACACGTCTTCAAGTGTCACAAAACCCTTTAAAAACAAATTTTCATTTATTATCTTGGTGCTTTTGGCTAGCAGACTGCCGAGCAGCAGGAGTAAGAGGCATTGGTAACGAGGAAGAAATTGACCTTGCAGAGCACTGGGCACAATGCTCACTGGCCCACTCCAGCCACTTCACAAGTTTTTGGTGCACAATGCTCATTTTCTGTTAGCTTTTTGTTAGCATGCTGCTGCTTTTGTGTGTCTAGACTGTAGCAAGCTTGGAAATTAAGGGTGGCTGTGAATGCCTCACATTTGTAGGCCAGCCACAAACAACCATCACTCCCATTAGTGATTTTTATTACATCGCATTAAATCTCTTCAAGTCAAAGGGAGGTGAGCACCTGACTCATCTGTGTCTTTGAGAATGTTCACCTGTGTAAACTAGCAGCAAAACTTTTATCTGCTTCTACAAGACAGACTGTGTTTTACCAGCGAGAAGCGACTGCACTCTGCCCACCTGGTGAGACATTTCACACTGGATAACTGGGGCTATCAGGGGAAAAAATATCTCAGGCACTATACATCCTCAGCAGCCACTCATTATTTATTTTGAGCTATAAATGACAGAATCATTTAGGCTGGAAAAGACCTCCAAGGTCATTGAGTCCAACCTTTGACCGACCTCCACTGTGGTCATCTAGACCACAGCACTAAGTGCCATGCCTAGTCGTTTCTCGGACACCTTCAGGGATGGTGACTGCACCACCTCCCTGGGCAGCCCATTCCAACGCTTGACAAACCTTTCTATGAAGAAATTCTTCCTGATGTCCAACCTGAACCTCCCCTGGCACAGCCTCAGGCTATGCCCTCTTGTCCTGTCTCCGGTTGCCTGGGAGAAGAGACTGATCCCCACCTGGCTGCAACCTCCTTTCAGGTAGTTGTAGAGAGCAAAAAGGTCTCTCCTGATCCTCCTTTTCTCCAGGCTTAACAACACCAGGTCCCTCAGCCCCTCCTCGTATGCCTTACTCTACAGATCCTTCACCAGCTTAGTTGCCTTTCTCTGGACACGCTCCAGCACGTCAATGTCTTTTCTGTGGCGAGAGGCACAAAACTGCACACAGAATTCAAGGAGTGGCCTCACCACTGACGAGTGCAGAGCAACAGTCACTTCCCTGGTCCTACTGGCCACACTGTTTTTGACACAAGCCAGGATGCCACTGGTCTGTTTGGCCACCTGGGCACACTGCTGGCTCATGTTTAGCCACTGTGGACCAGCACCAAATCATAGCATTTGGTCACCTTTCCCTAGGCTAGAGAACACTTTAAAGGTCCCCTTGTTGGATCTGTTCAGAGTTCACTGCTGCCAGTGCATCTGTGGGGAATAGGGTGCATCTGATCCTCTCCTGAGAGCTCCATGGAAGGACGTGACCCACCAGCATGTCCTCCATGTCCCAGCTGTGCCAGGCTGGGGGACCACAGAGGGAGGGAGCATCATGAAGGCAGCTGTGACTCTGGACAGGCATTAAGCCTCTCCCCTGAGTGCCCTGGGTTGCAGTGCTCCTTCTCCAAACCAGGGTCTCTAGGAAGTACAAATCTACTCTTACGCCCTTGCTGCGCTTTCTGTTCATGGACTGATGATTTGCACAAAGACACCTCCTACCACCAGAGCTGTGACACGCATTATTCTACTGCTGTGAACGTACTCTTTGAAAACCAGAATGCTGCTCTTGTTTTTCCTCCTCTCTACGCCCAATTAAAAACATGGATCACTTCAGCTACTGAGGTGAAAATAACTCTTTTGCTAATGATTTATGTGACAGAACTTTAACTGCATTTTAATCACAAACATTCATGAAAAGCATGTTTTGGTGGAAAAGCCAAGTACCTAAAAGTCAGCAGTAAGAGCTCTTCTTGAACTTACTAAATATTTGTAATGCTAAGTATCCTGAAGATATACAGTTACCTCACCCTGGCTTCCTAGAATGCAGAGGATACATTTTTTCCTAAGCTTTTCGTTATCTCGACAATCCATCTGCCAAAAGCAATGTCACCTTGCTCAGAGAGGATCTCTGTGCTGATTCATTAGGCAGTGTTTATACATTACCAACAAGACCAAGGAAAAGCTTTCAGGAAGTTAATAAATCATATGTCAAAGGAGGTTTGGAAAAACACCCAGTACAGAACGCAGCAGGACGCATACCTGGCATTAAGGAAATATCCTAGATATGATATGATTGCTTGTTACCAGAATACTGCCTTTCCTCCAGCCTATAAGGAGTCAGGATTCCATGGAAAAAAAATACCATGTGATCACATAGCAGTGGTCAAACAAGCAAATTGTAAGGCTTTGTGTGTGCATATTCTTAGAGGAGGGCAGAAGACCTTGTAAAGTCTTACAAGTAGGTCACTTCTCTACGAAACTTCAAACCTTTCCCAAGTCTGTGGAGCTTTCCTATGAAAGACCCCCAAGACTAGAACATCATTTCCCCTTAACTTCACTCTTAGAAACAAGGGGAAATGTCTTGGCTCAAATTAAAAAAAATAAATACATAGAAACAGCATGTCAAGCCCAAGACTGATATCCAAGTTCACCTCAAAGACTTAACTGTTTGTCAAAGGTGAATGCAGGTGACATTAGACTCTGCATTTAGGAAGGGTTGAGAGACAATATACCCACTGCCACAAGCGAAAACCACTTTGCTGTCCTGGCCAGACCTTGCCACTTCAATAAAACCAGATGGCAGAAATTACCGCAGGCAGGAAACATGACAGCAGCCCCCTGCCCTCCTTTCCTGAGCTTCTGTTATTTTTTAACAACTCCACACATCTACACACAGTACAACTACAAGCATCCTTCCTGAAGGTATCTCACCCAGTTCCACTAGATCATGAAATATTAAATAGCAAAAATCTCATGCCTTTCTGTCTCCCAGTCTCCACTATGCAAGCAAGGTGCCAGTTCACCCTCTGTTCAGAGATTGCTCAGTCCTGCCACACAAACAAAGTTGTGCTTATCGGAGTGATTAAACAAGTGCTTCCAGTTTGCATTTTTTAAATAACTGCCCAGTGCCCTTTTAGGTGAGGGCTCACATGCTGCTGTTCTACAGAAAGAGAAGGACAGGAGGAAAAGCAGCATTTCACTTGCTAACATAGTTACTGTAGTTGCTCTAGCTCCCTGTCCAGGGCTTACCCTGTCCTTTGGGACTCCAAGTTAGATGCTCTGCATAAATAATCTGGGAAGATTTCCAGATTCATCATGAAAAGTGAGGTGTGCAACACTGGCTGTGCTGGGTTCCTCGTTGTGCAGTAAGGAGGATAAGAATAAAAAATTTGGCGCATGACCATGGTTTGATTTGAAATTACCTGCCTGAGTCAGTTGAGTGCTGGTGAGAAGCTTGACAGATGGAGAAAGAGACCAATAACTAGATTCTCCCCACTCTGCTCTCTAACAACTGCTACCTAAGCAGCCTGGATACCCTGCAGTGTGCTAGTTCTGTTTTTTGGAGTGCAGCCACATGCAACAGTGTTCACTGGCAAAACAAATGAATAAATTTGGTTGATTACTCAGAGGGGATACCACAATATAAATCAAAGCAAAATTAAAAACTTGACAAAACCCTTTTTACCCTGACCATACTATGGATTTGTAATAGTGTTAACTGAGGATTTTCTATGTTTTCCATCTCCCAGGAACTTCTATTTTTGTGGCTCTCTCTTTGAGAGAGAGAGCTGAAGATATGGTGGGTAATTTTTACCTAATATCACTATCCTGAGTTCCTACACAGTTTGTGTACAGAAAGAGTCAACCCTCCTAGTCTTACTCATAAAAATTTTTCTTAGGGAGATGCCTCCTGTGAATCAAGTGAGTAGGATTTATAATTGGAGGAGTGCAATAAAGATATCAGTAGATGTAGCAGGTTGATTCATCTGACAGTTTATTATAATAGATCATTTAATTTTGCCACCCTGCTGGGTGAACTTAAGATCATACTGCTTTATGGATTTTTTTTGTTGTTTAGATCACAGAATGAAAAGCCACAATACTTGCAGTTTCTCAGGTGTATTTAGACTCTGACTGATCCATTAAATCTCCAATTTTTCATTAATTAAACAAAAGGAGAAAATTAAATATTAGCAAGCAATCCTCCGTGGAAGTGGAGAATGAGTAGGAGGTATATTATATATGACTGCCAAATTTGGAGAAGTCTATGTGTCAATGGCACACATGCAGGTTGCTCTCTTTGCTAAAAACAGTCCTTATTGCCTTCTCTAGCCTGGGTGAACACTACACAACCCCTTTTCTGTGGCTGCTGGTTTCAAGATTCTTTAGTACAGCAATACTGTTCTCTGATGTTTCTCCAAGTTCTTCCCTAGGCTCCCCCACTCATTTCAGGCGCTCTCCAGCTCTCTGTAGCACTCCTCCCACACCCTGATCTTTTGATATGGCTGATTGGAAATTTCTCTGCAAAATGAGCTTTCTTCTTTTTCTGCATCAAGAAAGGAAATTTTCACCAAAATGGCATTTCTTTTAAAAATGGAAAATGGTCTCAAAACTAAATATATTTAGTCAGCTGAATTATTTTGGCTGATCATACCAAATAGAAACATTCTGTTGTGGAAAAATTTCACATTAATTTGTCTTCCCCTGAGCTCCCTCGCAGAAGCTATGGCTCGGGTACCTTCGGCTTGCAAGCTGTGCTAACCCCTATGGGCTGCAGCCCCAGCACCTTTGCACATACCAGCCTCTGCTCTGGTGAGCAGAAGGCATCCAGCCCCTATATAAGTCCCTGAATGCAAAATTTCAAAGACCTAGGAATAAGTAATCTGATGGCAGTGAGAGAGTCAACATTTCTTCTAGTCTCAGCAGAGAACAAAACAACTGGCTTCACACTTGCATTGCTTTAAAGTCACTAGGGTGCAGCACGTGGCTTCCCTTGGCCCTGAGCAATTGCACATAGGAGAAGAAATCTGTTTAAGAGGGATGAAAACATTTCTTCTTAAAGTCTTTAATGTATACAGAGAATAAGGCAGCAAGGATGGTTCTAAGGTGTAACCATTAGGGATAAGCTACGTAACACTTCAGGGTGAGTAAGGGGATTTCTTGGATATATAAGCTGCAAGAAAGAAGCAAGGAGCTGGTGCTGTGAGGAGACAGGAAAGGTGACAGTGTGTGTAAATCCTGGTGTGGGAGGAAGTGATTTCCAAATGGCAGTTTTATGGGCACTCAGAATACTGGCTATGCCGAGCACTTAGGCTGACTCCCCTTGGATAGATAGGTACCTTCTGTCTCAGCCAGGCAATTATAGTTCTGGCATCTTGGGTAGTCCCTGAGCTCAAGAAGGTTTATTGGTTTTACAGCAAAGTGAGCTGCGTAAGATGATGACTTTAACAAACAGACCCAAGGAAGTTTGTAAAACTTTCTTGACAAATTTTACATGTAAAATGTAATTGCACAAACAATGTATTAGATAATTCAATACACATGATTCATAGCCACATATGTATTAACATTTAATTTTAACCTGGAGAATTTACCTGTGTGAGAGACAGTTGAACTAAAACAGTTATAATTTACTGTTTTGTTGCAGTATAACAACAGTGAGGTTTCTATAACATGCAAATATCTGCTAAAAGACACAAAACCTAACAGGATAGGAAAGTAACTACAAGTCACAGTATCTGCATTATGGGCAATGGGCTTATTGAAATAATTGCAAAGGATCCTCTCTAAATCAGTGGCCTTGGGTTAAAAATGAAAAATTCCCAACTTCCTTAAAATACTTATTATAATATCTTTTTGCATACTTCTGAAGATTTCAGTGTACACTGAGCATATGATATTGCTCCACTTTTATATCCAAACCTATCCTTTATGAGGAAAAATCACAGTACACATGCATGCTTATCTCCCACAAACACAATCCAGAGGCTGTAAAAGGGGTTTTGTATCCCTTGGGGGACGTTAAACATTAATAATAATAATGATATGCAAACAATGACAGTGTCCTTCTTGGATTTACATACAAGTAGCTGAGAGTAAGTACTGAATGAAGGCTCAAGAAACCTTAAGAAAACCTGAATAAGTGGTTTTTCAAAACATAGGAAAGTTAAGCCAGCTAGAAGCATAATAAATGATCACTCATATGACCTGGCATCTGCATTCACCACAGTGTTTCTTAGTGGGTGCATGTACCAAAACACACCCAAAACCACGATAAAACTAGACTGGATTTGGGAATTAATATATTATTGACTTTGCTTGTGACCATGTTTTACATTGAAAAACATCACTTAATTGGTAATATGCATTAACTTGCTCTCCAGATTTATTAACAATTGTAAAAAATTATGTTTTCTCTTTTGCCTTCTCTGTTTTGCAGAGAATTTATCCTGATGACCTCCTCTGACAGTCAGTGTTACACAATGACCACATATAGCATATATACTATCTTACTTATGTTACTATTACTAAAGATACCATCACTTGTAATTTATATCCTCCTGTAATGACACTGAGTATCTCAACTGAATGTTTTGAAGTTCACCCATCACTCAACACAACTTCATGGTTAGATGGAATGGACACAGTGTACCCTGCATGAATAAGGAGATGTGGTCCTCGTTCCAGAACAATGAACATCAAATGAAGATTCAGAATTATTTGCATCATTTGTATAGGAGAAGAGAGTGTACCTTTTCAAGAATTACCTGAGGTTCCAGAAGCAGAAGTGTTTGTTTCTGGAGAGACTGTAGAAGAAAAAGATGTTCCCTTGGTAGATGAAGCATCCGAACTCCCATTTTGTGGCAACTCTGTTGCACTTGCTTGTGTCGCTAGAAATAACACAGATGTTCAGGTAAGATACATTTGTCTTAGACCCTGGATCATCCCTCAGACAAATGCTCCTACCATCATAGAAAATACTTTAGGTCAGAAAGCACTACAGCTTCTGGTAACTGCTTGTCAAGCAATGAACCGTCCCTATGGAATCACTACTACTGGCATAGTTGAGGCATCTTTAAAGCACATCCTAGCAACAGAAACAGCCTCACATCTGTGCCAGAAGACATCTCAGAGTTCTGACTTGGAAGCCCAGAATAGCTAGACAGTCTTGCACCAAGAGCAACGTGAGCAGAAGACAGAAGCTCAACTTATTGCCCTTTTGTTCTTATCTGTTTGTTCTTAATTTGAAAATAGATAAATAAATAAATAAATAAATAAATAACTCAAGCTTCAGCCACAACTGTCACATAATGAGATACTGTATAAAGTTTTAGGGATTGTAATTAAGTACAGAGTTACTTATTTAATTCTGTGCTGTTAAGGTCTAGGAAATAATATACCCCTGAAAATTAATGTACGAAAAATTCAAGTGTGTTATTTCTGCTCTCACTCAATCAATAGAAGAACAAGACCATCTGTACCAGAAGATTTGCAGCCTAAAGTGAGTCCAAGACAGTGGTGCAGGGCACTGCCTGATCCCACAGAACTGAAGGTCGCCAAATGACTACCAGAAATAATTTAAGCTGTTCCTGCACTGCTGATAATTCCTACGTCTACGCTCCAACCTCAGCATAACAACAAGCAAGACAGTGCCTACTGAATAAAACATAGAGGTGCCCAAGAGTAACCTTATACTTCCTTTCTGATATAAATCAGAGATGCGACTGAGCTGTAAGCTGTTTTCAGTGCCCCTTCACATGAATTTCAAACACTGGAATTAAAATGACTTTTAGATGTATTTTAGTCAGAGAGTAACATCACACACACGCAATGTGTAAATCTTGAGGAATGCTTCATCACACACTTTATTCAGAAACTCTGATTATCAGTTTGGGCCATCAAAGAACCCTTTGTTTGGGGAAAAAAACCTCTAACAAGCTCCCTGTTTGACCACTACACATCTTCCACTTGGCCCTTCCCTTCCCCTCTTGCTTATTAAGTGCAATACTTTGGAAAGGCAAGCTTCAAAAATCAATGGGCTAAGAATGAGTGAGCTGAAGGTGCTGGAGTCAGGGGATTCATATAACTTTGGAAACTGAGAGCAGATAGGCAGCCAGGGGTGGTATCTTTCAAGGTTGAAGCCTGGAAATTAGGTAAAACAAGCTTAAGCCTAAAACTTTCATTGGGATGCTTGTAACAAGAAGCATAACTTCATGTCAGCTCCTTTCAGAAACCTCAGAATTGTAGCCCCACAATATGCAAGCCTGACCTGCAGTAGAGATGAGTGTAAAAAGACCCTCTAAATCATTTTTTACTGTAGTAAAATGCAAGGATTTGAAAAGTTTAATAATTCCTGCATTCTTGTCATAGAAGCCTTGAATGAATCTTTAAGAGCATATTTTTTCACTTAAAATTCTTCTGCGGCTGTTTCAAACTCAAATTTTATATGTTGAATTTTAATCTGAGATCAATTTCATAGAAAAGCAAAAAAACCTGAAGTACCTCCCTCTCCCTTTAAGATGCACAGGCTTGTAACAGTAAGAGCAACCATCTTGTGGCTCCCTTGTCATAAGTTAGTAAAAGCTTGCATGGGAGAATGAAAAGTAAGTGAGAACAACAGTAAGCCTTCATGTGCAGAAACATTCAAACATAAATATGTTTTGTGAACAACAAAGCAAAACAATCAGGGGTGTGGGAGAGATGAGGAGGGAGGCACCCATTTGCCCTGTAACCCCATAGAGGGCTGTTTTCCCATGGGGATCACATCCTATCAGTCCTGGCAGCAGCCCAGCCCCGGGGTGCTCCTCTTATGTTTGGGAGCTGCAAGAACAGATTGTTCTCAGGAACATGGGCTGTGCGTTGATGTCGTGGTTTAAGCCTTGGCAGGGGATCGGGAGGGGAGGGATTTTATTTTTTATTTTATTTTATTTTAATCCATCCTGGATGAGATTCTTCCAGTGACTCAGGTAGCACCAAGTATGACTCACACCTTTACCTAGGGCTTGGCATGAAGCTTGTTGCATCTATTTCATCAGAGTGCAGGACAGGTTCAGTGCTTGTGGTGTCAAGGGGTGAAGTATGCGTGCTACAGTGCAAAAATCCGTGTGCCAGTTTTCACTTTCCCAAGATGAAAAATGCAATCTGGTGGGTAATGTTCCCTTAATTCCACTGCACCAGTGTAAGATGAAATCCTAGCAACCCAATTCTCTGCTGACTTGTGGCTTTGAAGTAGCTTTTAAGCAGCATCCAAGCCCTACGCCTAATACACAGCCTAGGCTCTGCCACCAACACATTTAGCAGATCAGACAGCTTCTGCACCAAAAGCCTGTGGGAACAGAAGCATCCATATCCAGCCACCGCTCATGCACGCAGCAACAGCACTGACAGCACAGTACGCCTGCTAGAAATCTGCCTTTTTGGTAAATCCTGGAACTCATATCTATGCAAGGTTTAATTTGATCTCAGCTGCGGGAGACGGCGCAGGCCCTCACTGCGGTGGCCGTGCTCCGTGCGGGAACAGGCGGGGGACTCTGTGCGGGCGCGCGGTGACTCAGTTCTGTCATCCCCACTGACACATCGCTGCAGTAATTCATCACGCTTCAGCTCAGCCAGCTGCAGCAAAGATTCCTGCCTGCTGCCAGGGGGAGGCCTGGGCTCGCGGAGAAGCAGCACAGCGCAGAAGGGCGGCTGCTGCTGCTGCTGCAGCTGCTGCTGCGAAAGCGCCCGCCTCATGGGTTAATGGGTTTGTTGTCAACAGCTGATTATGAATAAAAATGGTAAAGCGGTAAAGACTGTAAAATAGCTGTCCAAATGAGGATGATTGCTGCAGCAGCAGATCTCTCTGGTGGTGATGCAGCTCTCCCTGCTGATATTTTGATAAAATAAATGACAGTGTGTTAACATGTATTTGGCAAAGGGATAATCAACAACAGGGAACCTGAAGCCACTCTACAAAGCTGCTGTTTGAGATTCAGATACTTCCTTACTCTTTGTGCTCTGAAAACCCTTCATTTTCTTTAACCAGCTGAAATTCAACACATACCCTTGCTTGATCTTAGCATGATTTTCCACTTAATCTACATAAAATCCACACATATTTTGGCATTTTACTTTGTACTTTAAATTTTCTTTACAGTAAGCTGTTACCTAACCAGCTTTGACATTGTAATATGCTTGAAGTAAGCTACAAATACTCTGTGCACTGCAAAGAATATAGACATCTGTAGGTGTGTTAAAATGTTACATGACCAATAAATGAATCAAGGAAACACTTACAGGGTAAAAGGAACACCACCCAAACCATGTTAAAATGTCATCACGAGGGCTTTGTTAGATGGAAGACTAAAGCTTCTGCCTCGAGCTCATATTTTTAGCATTAACACACACAGGCCTTGTCCTGCAATCAGTAGACTGAAAAGCCATTTGAAGTAATGAATACATTCATGAAGTTTTGAAAAATCTAATTGTAGCAAACCCAATTACATTTTTGCCCATTCAGAAGAATGAAAATTGGCTAGGGAGGTAACGAAGCAGATCTCAGTTTTAATGTTTACACCCATAGTTGATTGCATCTGCTGTCTGCAGCTTTACATTTTCTGGTAAGCAAAAACCACAAGTATTTAAAAACACACATTTTAAAACTTCTTTCTGCCTAACATATCTCAGCAGCCAACTATACTCAGTGTTTACCTTTAGCATGTGGTAACAACCTGAGGAAAATTGAGCAATACATGCTAGTATAAACTTCTTCTGGTAGTGTTACTGAAGTAAAGCCTCCATTTAAATTACCGGTAGTTTGATGAGGAGAGAAAAAGGATCTCCTCCGCTCTTTCCTTTCCTCACTTCTAAATATTTGTTATCTAATTGCACCATGACGTATCATCATCCAAGAGAGTGGCATGACATAACTCGGAAACACAACAGTCAAAAATCCACTCTTAACTTGCAACTTAATAACTTGAGCACTGACCTTGCATAAGATGCTTGCTCCATATCCAAGAGGGGAAGAAGAGAAACTTCTGTTGTATTTCATTTTGTATTCCCTTTGATAACTTCAAGTGTCCCAGGATATGAAATCCTGATTGCAGATGCAATTTTCTGTGGCATGACACCACATAAATTCTTGGTTTTGGGCCTGAACTGCACAAGTGAGGTCACTCTGACGAAATGTGAAATCTTGGATTTGACACCTTATACTGATAAATAAAAAGGCTAAGGAGACCAATCTAATGATGGTTTCCATTATAATAAACCTGACAGGAGGGCTAAGAAGGAGAGACTGTACTTACAGCCTGCAGAGGAAAAGAACACTGAAAAAAAAAAGAGAAAGACTTTTGCATGATTTCACAGTGTATGGAGCACTGGGGACTTTTCCTGAATCTATAATAAAAGGTGACAGCAGCCACAGAAATTGCAGCAGAGACAGGAAGCCCTGTCACATCTTTGCTGTGTGAATGCAATCATTTGTTGAAGCTTTTAGCAGGGATTGAAGCAGAGAAAGTGATGACTTTTATTACAAAACAACAGAGGTGCCTGCTTTTTATTAAAAATCAGGTGTAGTAAAGTAAATTCTGAAGTGCCATAAAGGCACCACCAATTTCTGGCTCAGTCTCATACAGCCAGTGCAATAAAGGGGGAGAAGTGAGTGACAGTGGAAAAAAAGAAGACAGAGTAGCCAACTTTCATCTCCTGTCCATTTTGAGAGCAGAAATCTTGCTGTGCCTGTGCTTGTTTGAGGGAGCTCAACTCCCTCCTCCCTGTGCTGCTGCTGGGGGTGCTGGCAGGGGCTGGGAGGACACAGTGAAGCCAGGGGCACCTCGCTGTGCCAATGTGTGGGCAGGAAACAGAGAGATGCCTGTAGCCAGCAGCCACACAGTGGCTGGGGGCTCTATAGGTTTTCTGCAAGGCTGGCCACACATCTGCACAGCCCCTGTGCTATGCCCTGTCCCAAAACCAATACCAGTACCCCATCCACTCCTTTGTGCTGAAGCCAAGGTTATGACCTTCTTGAAGAGTAGACCAGAATTTTATCTTAAAAAACCACTAAAATTGGTTTTCACATACACATATTTCCAAACACTACTTTAGCATTAAAAGAAAATACAAAGTTCTTTAATGCAGGGCAGTTCCCAATGTCCTGGACACACTGTCCCAGTTTTCCTTTACACAAAGGCAACTGAGAGGCAGGTAAGCCCTACTTTTAGGTTAATTTATCAACCATTTTTTTATCACAAGTTTTGTTTTTGTTTTGTTTTGTTTTGTTTTGTTTTAGCTTAAATGAGGAGTTTTAAAAACAAATCACAGTGCAAGCAACTAGGGACTGAACTCTAGTGGGTGGGAAAAGAATACAAGAAGAATGGAAAGGAAGCACATTGGTGAAAGCCTCTTGCTTGGAGCCCATCATACCTCCAGCACCATTGTACACCCAGCACCAGTTTTTCAGTGCAGAGCAGCGGCTGGAGCTAAGCTGCACTGGCAGGCATGCCTTTCCTCATTAGCTTCCCTTCCCCTGCCGGGAGCTCTACCTGTCACCAAGGTTTAGTTCCAGGTGGTTGTGCTGCTCCGGTACCCACAAGCCAGGAATTTCTGCCAAACTGAAAAGACCAGGAATCCTATCCATAATGCAATGCGCCACGCCTCGGGCTTCTGACAGGCCTGCAGTGTCACAAATGCAAGTCTTAAAAGATTCTTTGTGGCCTTTTGGTATCACTTTCAGCACCTTGTGCGTTGGCCAGGCTGTATGTATTCTGTGACTCACTGACACTGGCATTTAAAAGCCAAGACAAAAACCAAAAGATTTTGGGCTGATGATCAGACTGCTCCTTACACAAAGCACAGCAGGAAACCTGCATTAGTAGAAGATGAAACCACTAAGTGGAAGGGGAATAGCTCTCCAGGTAGCTTAGCAGGCTTGGGTCTACGAGGGGTGGCTTTAAAGGAAAATTTGCACAAAGAAAGCATGCAGGTTGCTACACAGGAGTCCCTTTCTAGGCAAGTAAGCCAAGGGAAGAGAAGTCACATTGTAATCATTAGTCACAGTTCAGTATGCTGTAAACGTCAGTTCTGAGAGCACTGGTGTACCGAGGTAAATATTTGGAGTATTTTTTTTTAATTTTTTTAGTAAATTAAATATAAAACCCGAGTATTTCAAAGCTATGGTGCATCAAAAGACTGACGCAAACATTTAGAGTGCAGTTCATGGATAAAAAAGGGAGACTTAATTTCATCTTAAGTGTATCAAGCTCATTTTGGATGTTACTATACTTGTTTAAATGAATCCAACTACTTGCTGGATAATGGGTTTCAGTTTTTATTTAATTTTATTTTATTTTTCTAAAATCCAATCTGATGTTCCAGCCAACACACACATTATTCTGAAGATCTATTGCAAACAAAACTGTTTCCTACGATTGATGCAGAGTAATTAGTACCACCTCTCTGCTTTCAGTACGGTGACTCATAATAATATGGAACATAATTAACTGTAGTATTGTAACATATATAAACACATACAAAAAAGGGGTGGCTATTCTGATACCATTCTGATCGTACAGAAGAATTTATTTTTTGTTAAATACTCATAGAAAAACAAACCAAGAAGAAAGAAAAATAAGACCTTTTCAAATACATCTGTCCCGGTTACAGGGAGATTAAAATCCTGTGCAATGGCTTCAGATCATCTACACTGTAAATTTAAGGTACCATATTCTTTGTGTAAGATTCTAGGAGAAGATTCATTAAAGATATGTAATATGGTAGGATTAATAACTCTGCTTCCCTAAACCACCAAATTCAAACCCCAAACTACAATCTTTTTTACCTCCTTTAGTTCTCCACACTGTTTTATAGAAATGCAGCATAGAACAAATCAGAAATGGCTCAGTGAAATTATCACTTACCATTTGTTGTGCTGAAACTTTCATCTGTTGCTGTAGTTGTCACTTTTACCACTGCTTGCGTTGTTGTACCTTGTGTTATACCTTGTGTAGCATTAGGCAAAGAAGACATGGATGCTAACAGAGGAAAGACATTCAATTTATTTCCTTTAGTTTTATATACACACATATGCACACACACGAAACACGCCTATTTCCCTGCTCGAAGTCTAATTTTAAATTAGCAAAAGAATATTTAATTTAAATTGAAGATCAACAGGGATAGGACTCCCTTCACTGCAGAGGAAGCCACTACCTGTCCTATTGGTGGGTCATCCCACTGAAGACAAGCGATAGTAAAATTAGAAGGCCTAGACTGGAGCTGCCTCGAGCCTGCTGGGGTGGAAGCTCCTGCACACTCCTGTAAGGTTTCAGCAAAGGGTTCACTACCTGTAAAATGAATTCCCAAACCAAGAGGCACTGCTGCCTAATTTCCTGAATGCCCACCAGAACAGCATGAACAATTAACTGAGAGCAATTTTCACTTACTACTGTTTGTGATGGATTCAATTGCAGCTCCAATTGCAGTTGTTGTTGTTGGCGCTGATGTTTGCGAAGGTGTTACTTGTGAAGTTGATGCCTTCATAGATTCTGTTACTGCAAGAAAGGCATTCACATCTTTATTGATCTATTTTATCATGCATAAATAAACATCACATATCTCCTGCTGCATTCTCTCACCAAGGCAGTGAATTTCTGTTTTAAGTCTTGCCCTTACAGAACTTTCTTACCCATTTTTGAAGAGGATTCAAAGGGCATATGGCTGGTTTCAGAGGGGAGATTTGGCCTGTGAACAATCTGCAAGTTGCCTACTGAAAGTTAGCAGCTGTATCTTTCAGCTAGCTCCTGAAGGAGAGGTGCTTGGCATGACTTCCAAGGGAAGAGGTGAGGGGTAAGGAGCCTGGTGTAGATGGATGATTTCACTGTGCTGGACTACACCTATGACCAGCACTTTGGTGCATACCTGTTTAATAGGACGAGGGATGTAAAATCTCCATAAAAAATTGTGAGTGACACAAGTGAACACAGTTTATAGATCCCAGGTAAAGAGCCAAAGGGGAAGAGACTCTACTAGTTTTTGTGCAATTTCCCCTTGCTTGTCCACCTTGAGCCACATTTGAATCTTCTTCATTGGCCTGCTTTCCCAGACCCTCTTCCTCTGCACCCAGATTTCTGGGGAAAAAAAGGGCACCCAGCAGGCCCTCTTCTTTGGAGTGCAGCAAAGCTTAGAAGATTGTGCATGGTATATGAATAGTATTCACTAGTAAGTGATACTCCCTGGGGTGAACTTGGTGCCCTTGTACGATGACTCCTAGTTCCCTCCTCCAGAGGAGTGAGACCTGGAGGCTAAGGGGTGGGGAAAGGGATCCTGCAGGCAGCAGGGATCCCTTCCCAGCAGCTGCTGCCATGGAAATATGGGGACAGAGTTGCCCAAACATCACTAAGGCAATAGCAAGGTTTAAATAAGTGTGTCTTGCTGTACGTGGATACTGCAGGTCCCATGTGCCCCAGGCACTTGCTCAAGGGAATGGACTGGCTAAATTACTGCCAGGGTTTCTGGACTAAAAAAAACTCCATAAGTAATAATTTTGAGAGCCCAGTTTTCAATTCTGTAATCTAATGCAAACAGAAAGTGCTACTGTCAGCTACAGGGGCTCATTTAAATACCTACAACTACTACTGCTACCTACCTACTATGTCCTTTAGCACTTTTAATGGATGGGATACACGAAAGAATAGGAATAAATCATGACATGTCATGTAATTTTCTCTCACAGGACTTAAATATGTCTAAATGCAATGTTCACACCCAAACTTTTAAATTACAATCTTATACTCTCTTTCTCTCCCCTCAGTTTTCCGGCTTTTCACCTAGAATAAGCAGAATGGACCTCCTTGCTCCACACTCACTAACTGCTTTAATCTTATAGTGGGTTTCTGATGCTTTTCTCATGGACATAAGTAACAATGCTGCTTCCCTTTCTGTGACAAAAAGCTGCAAGAGAAATTTCAGTGAAACATTCAAAGGGTTCATTCACTGTGAGGTGTTTGGCCTTTATGAAATGTCTTTTAAACAGACATAAGCATCACAGTATCTGAAACATCAAAGAACTGCAACACAATTTGAAAAGGATTAATTATTCTGCTGTAATAAACATAACTTTATGTAATAAACATAACTTTATTCACCTGGCTGTATCTTATTCACCTGCATTACTTGCACATAAAGTGTATCCTTCATAACCTCAGTGCTTTCAGCTCCACAGTAGACTCATTAGTGTCTCTAGCTATCAAAAATTAGAATACTACATTCATGTTTTCTTCTCTCACATGCATCACTCATTAAAAGCAACAGTCTTCAATATTCAGACTAGCAGAGGAGTTGATATTTAGCTCACATGAATGAAACATGACCAATATTGATTTTTCATAACTTTCCATAACAAAGCTGCACAATAAAGAGAACTGAATGTGTCAGTTAAAGATGTAAACCAGAATCCCAGATTTTTACCATCTGAAGCAGGTATTTTCTCTGTTAGGTCTGCATAGTTTTAGGACTTGAAGTTTGATCTAGTTAAATCAATCACAAAAAAAGGAGAGAGAGAATAGAGCTTTTGAAACGTGAATCTTGACATCAATAGTTAAAAGATGTTATCAGCAGCATTTCTGCAGATAACAGGTTCATGCACATGTAATCACTTCTATCAGTTGAGGCCCAACATTGGCATTTATTGGTTATTTCTTTACTATCAAAGTCCATCTTCCTCTTTCGTCATTCTACACCCATCAAATCAGCTACCCTACTGCCAAATATCTGAACTGATGCTGTTTCCCAAATTATTCTCAATCTGACAATTTCTTGAACTGTCAGTCTTCGGTAATTTGTTAATATCCAATCTCACTTGAACCACTCTTGAGCATATAGAAACTCACAGAATTTCACCTTTTTCACCCGAAACAAAAAATGAAACCTGCTCAAACCAACTGTCTCCATACTAAGATAGTTCAATCCTTTCTTTGCAGCAGAGTTTCATAATCACCCTACATGAAATAATTCACCTGATTTTTCCCCAAAGTTGGAAAAGTTGAAAGCTAAAAAGACAACAGGGGCTTCAGAACACCAGATAAGAGGGAATTGGAACTCTTACCGGATTTTGATCCTGATGCAGAAACGGTTGTACTGACAGTAGGGGTTGTAATGCCATCCTCTGAAATAAGCACAGAAAGAATCATATTACTTCTGTCACCTTCCAGTTCTATTTAGCACTACATAGTCATATTAGCAGAGAGCAGCAAGAACCTTCCTGGAAAAAATCAAGTTCAGAAGCCCCATTAGCAGAAGCAACCGTATCATATAACTCTGCCAAAAATCTTTTCAATCTATATCCTAAATCTCTTCATTTTGCCCTCACTTCTGTAATGTGGAGCATCTTCTACTTCCTCCCACCTTGGACTGCACATTGTTTTCCAACAGGTGTCTCCAAGACTAGTTTGAGGGGAAAAATGGAGCTATTAAAGGTTTTTCACTATCTCCTCCTCTCCTTGAGTACAATCACATCTGCTCTGAGTTTTCAGGGTGGAGGATTAACTAAAATAACTGTCCAAAGGAGTAAGCATCCATTCTCCTGCCTTGAAATAATAAAACTGTACTAGCTCCCTGGCTAGTATAAGCAGTTCAGGAAGCGTTTCCAACATCACCTTGGTCCCTATATGTGAGAGGAAAAGGAGAATTCATAAAATACAGCTTGAGAAGTACCAGGTTGAGTAATGACTGCCTTTCCCCACTGCCCTGAAGGCAGTGGCTGCAGCTATAGGGATTTTACTGCAGTAAATTACACCAGTCTTAAAAATTCTAGGTCAAGTTAGTAGGTGGGTCTTCAATATTACAAAACAAACAAACCACCCAAAAAAGAAACCCCAATAAACAAAAAGTGAAGTAATTTCTGTATTTTCTGACTCTATTGAAAGGTTGTTGGCTTCAAACAAGATTTTCAGTCTTATTCCTGGTTTGTCCATATTTTTCTGGTACAAGAAGTTAGGGGGTGATGAAGGGGGTAGAAAAAACCTACATTGACTCAGAAAGAGTGGCATTTCTCAACCATTTTACACTGCTGTGAGACAAGTTGGGTACGTTTGGGGAGGCCTAGATCAACTCTGTAACTGAATGGGAGAGGGAAATGGCACAGGCTAATCCCCTAGTGCTTTCACGTTTGAAGCGTGACATCCTGTCATGCTGCATTAGCATCCTGTAATACAGACATCGCAAAACTGAGTCAGGACAGCATGTCACTATTCTTGTGTGACTCCATTCATGGTAATATCTGCTGGCATTCTCTCTTTTTTTGGTCTACAGGGCAGAACAGTCAGTTTTGTTCCCTTTGCTCAGTGTGCTGCGCTCCGATTAACATTTCACGAGCACCACCTGAGGCCTGCCAGAGTCACAGATCTAACCTGGAAAAAAACCCCAACATAATACAGTCTCAGGGGCTTTGCAGGAATATATTAAGGTCTAATCAGATGGGCCCTTACAGTGCCTCTTCCAGCAGTGTATTATCAGCCCTCTTGGCACCTGCGTGTTTCTAAGTGGTCTCAGTCCCTTCCCAGGGAGCCCCAATTCCCTGAGTATCTTTTCTAGGGATGCTGCTGCCTTCATAATGCCTCATCATAGCACATGCTGGGCCAGCTTGTTGTGGACATATCCTACAGAAAATTAAATGAGTCTCCTATGGGCCTGCTGCTGTCCCAGCTCTACTCCCCAGAACACATGGATACACTGACTATGCACAGTCTCGTGCACACTCCATTTAAAATATAAATCTTCCTGCCATTTAGTTCCTCAGTCAGAATAATGCTTCATAACCCACACTTGAAATACTTGGAAAACAAATTTTATCCAAAGAGACCTAAAGGCAATCTTGTTTCCCTAAGCAGCGAGCATTTTTCCATCTCTTCGTTCTCATTATGTGCTGCTGACAGAGCTCCTCTAATCCCCCACACCACAAGGCCACAGCACTAGAACAGAATGTTTTTTCAACAGTGCCTACATTTCATATGGTTTTGTTTTAACATCTCTCAGTAGCTATCATGTCTGTAACACCAGCTAAACGCGCTAGCTGGCCAATTAGCTCATTCCTGAACTCATTTTCTCAAAACTCTTCCCCTAACTCAGCATGACTTTCTGGGAAGCCCATTGAAATACTTAGATTATTCATCCTTTAAAGATGTTCCATTTAATAACCATGTTGATAGGCCAAGCTTTCCTCAAAACTCAAAAAAAAAAAAAGGGAATTTGAGGTACAGTTTTGTTATGACTCACTATTTGCTGATTTTATCACAGGTTAGATATAAAATAAGGTAAATTCAATTAACAGAGTATAATAAAGTAGAGTTTTATGAATTAATTGTTTTCTTAAAAAGGTGAATAATTAAATATACTTTAAAAAGAAGTTGAAAGCAACATGCAAAAGACAGGATTGGGGTGGGGGGGGAACTGGTTGATTAAAAGAAATGATAGAACTGATGGCTTATTATGCTCTTATTTGCAATGTTAAGTTGTGACTAAGGAGAATCCTGTGGGGGATAAAAGTGAGAGATCAAAAATGATTGAGAAAATAATTTTCACCCATTAGAGACTGTTGTTAGACAAAGAGGGAGATAGAAAACTTCACTTTTCTGCTCATGTCAGGTTGCCTGCAGCCTCAGGTGATGGACAACTAAGTAAAGCTACAATTGCATGTTTTTCAGTAAATTTAGATGCAGTGATCCCTTTGCAGACGAGAGTCCTTTCGTATACTCTGATGTGGGAGCAGCCAAAATCTATGCAGCAATTTCTCCCACACAGAAACTGCTGCCATTTGCTGTGCTCTCTGGTAATAAACCCAGCTGAAAGAGCATAGGTGACCTGTGATGTCTGGAGAACATGCAAGGAGCTAAAAGGTGCTCACATACCACACTGGGCTGAATAAAGGGATGATGGTGGTAGTGCTAAGACTGACAAAGGAAAAAAACATGTCTTAGAGCAGATACCAAGGCAGGAAGAAATCAGAACTGGGAGAAAGTCAACAGGACAGGAAGATGAGAGGTGAAGGGCTGAAAGGTCTAGAGACAGTAAGACAGTCAGGGTGGCAGAGAAAAGCGAGAAGGAACTAAGAAGAGATCAAAGAACATTTGACACATGGACACAAGACAAAACTGAAAAGAGAGTAATTGTTGAGGTTTTGTTGTTTTTTGTTATTGGTTCCCCCCTACCCCAGGTTCACAGAATTTCTCTTTATTGTCTTTTCTGGCTTGGATTTAAATGGTATATTTGTTCTAAAATGAAAGCAACAGTACAATCATTTGTATCTGGTCTTAAGATTTCTAAATGGACAAACTGAGACACTGAACTTACTATCTTCTTTTAAATTCAGAAGGCGTCTTTGAATTTGGACAGGGCCGACCAACAGCCACAGTTGTCCTCAAACTGCAGCTTTTGATGCAGGCTTCAGCCTCCAAGGTCTGAGCTTGGAGTTCTCATAATTCCTTACCTCTCTCTCTCTCATTATTTTTGCCTTTACACTGGGAAGACTAAGATAAGTGGGTTCTGACCTTGTGTTAATTAGGTGCCTGTTATTGCTATAATCAAGGCAGAAAAAAAAAAAGAAGAAATGACTGCATGATATTACATCAGCAGTTCTGTTTATGTCTTACAGGATACTACAGGGCACAAACCACAGAGTTTAAAACACCACATGAAACAGATAACACAAAATTGAACGCCAAAGCAAAAACATTTTTAAAGATTAATAGATTGTTCAAAGTAGATATTGACTATATTCACTACATGAATTACTGAAATTAAGTGCCGTCTGGTTTGGCATCAATATCTGATTTTGAAAAGAAATTATTTTTATGGAAAACTCACTATCATTACAGAATTAGCAAGTGAAATGTCCTGTTTGTCATTTTTGCACTTGACCTCGCACTAGGTAGACAAAACCATATCATTAAAATCCCTCCGTTCAGATGAAGTACTTGGTCCAGCTTTAGAAGGGTGTTGAGAAGGGTGTGGATTCCTGGAGGTGGAGAGTTATTGGAGAACCATAAAAAGCATCAGGAGCCCCAAGAAAAATAATTGCTCAGGAAGGATTGCAAAAATTGCATTTGTTTAGCTTAGAGACAGAAAGATTAATGGAAGGCACAACAGCAGCAGTCAGCAGGTGAGGGGCTGCAGCAAAGACAAATGAATAAAGTTATGAAATGAGAGGCAATGAAAAAAGAAAATTTGAACTGTAAACTCTGTAGGTTTTCTGGTGCATGTGTCAAGCTGTTGGTGTAACAGCTGAAAACTGGTATTTTAACCATTTTCCTGATGAGGATGCAATATATTCCCACTCAAAATCAGACCACTGCCCAATAGGTTGTAGCTAGGAACAATCACCAAAGGGGCGTCCTGAAGGAACCTGTACATGTTAATTCACTCCCTCAAGGCTATAAAGCAGAATTTATAATTAGTGTTGTTATATCATGTTTGTTTACTGCATATTATCAGAGAGTCATAGAATGGTTTGTGTTGGAAGGGACCTTAAAGACCACCCAGTTCCAACTTCCCTGCTGTTTGCATAGACACCTTCCACTACAATAGTTTGCTCAGAGCTCCATCCATCCAGGCCTTGAACATTTCCAGGGATGGGGCATCCACATCTTCTCTGGGCAACCTGTTCCAGTGCCTCACCAGCCTCACTGTAAAGATTTTCTTCCTTATATCTAATTTAAACCTACTCCCTTCCAGGATGTTATGTTATGGTTGGTTGTGTGACCCTGGGCCTTTGCAACGACATACAAGTCATGGAGAGGTCAAAGTTGTGTTTTTGCTTTCTGTCTTACCATGCCATCAGAAATAAATAGTTATCTCTTTCCAGCAAATGATAATTCTGTCAGCCCCCATGCCCATGATAGAGCCTCCTGTAACAGCTGCTCCAGCAGTACCTGTGTAAAGACTGTACAGTTCACAGAATATTTTACCCTTTGTGGAAGAAGTTATAGCTGCCCTTGTAAGAAAATCTGGTACTAATGCGCTCAGAGTTCCCAAGAAACAGCTGCTGCCTGACAATGTGCACAACCTGTTTACTCTTACCTTGGAGCTCTGTTGTCTACCAGGTTTTCTCTTTCATTTTCATTTATTGCTGCTTCATCTCTTCATTCTCCTATCTGATCTTCCCCCAGGCCC